CGGATTAGAAATAGCTCTAGACTCGCAAACGGCGTGATTTGGTCGTTCAAGCAAGGCACGATGCTGCTGATTTTCCTGCGCTTTCTTCATGGATCAACAACTTCTCTCTAGCTTTTCTTCAGGCTCAGGTGTCGTCACGGGCCATGCCACATATCGAAACGCTCGTCTCAACGAGACGAACACATTCTATTAAATTTGAGTGCTATCCGATCATGGAAGAGGGAGATATAAGCGTCAAAAGTCACTGGTTGTGACTGCCCCTTTAATGGAGTTGAGTTGCAGGGTAGCTGCACGGGAATAGCATGTAGCTCCTCTTGTTTTGCTCTTTCACCTATAACTTCTTCCTGGGATGTCCGTTCATGCATAAAATTGACCCCTAAGGGTTTTCAATCGTGCCGCATCCAATGGACGTGGTCTCACATAAAATTGAAACACTGAAAATATAGCTCTAGTTATAGGGTCCGTTTCATGGTGTTAGAGGTTGATTCTGTCAAAAATGTTTCTCAGTCTGTGCTACCTTAGACATGTCAGAATGCGAAAAAACTTGGCGGGAGACTTTTGAGAATCTTTATGAAGATCTTGGCCAGTTCTGTGGCTATTCTGAGGCTGTCGAAATTTCTAATGTTTGTTAGGTTTTATTGACCAGGGATCCATGATGATGAAAAATGTCTTCCAATACCAGCTCTTAGTATTCTTTCACCATTTATGTGTTGGCTACAATTAAGTTTTGGTGCTCCCACAAAATGCCTATGGGCAAAAATGGACAGTATTTTCATCCATAGGCTCGGCACCATCCGATTTTTCAGACAAGATGGATTAAAGACCATCACGGACATGCCATGTCTGTAGCAGTCCATCATGGACATAGCAAATCTGTGACGAGATTTTTTCACGCAAATTTGAAGGAAAAAATATTGGGGTGGGGGGGGGGGGCGCCACAGCTCCCATAGGTTCGGTTTTAGGCAAAACCATCCCAGACATAGCATGTCCGTGATGGAGACAATATGCTGTAGCACTTTGTCTATATGAATTTTTAAGAATTTTCCCCTATATAATATCTTGGGAAAGTTAATAACAAGAGCCATTATCTTTTGGCACTAAAAGACAATATCTCCTATAGCCATCAGATTGAGCATGCATCACTAATATAGTTCAAAGTTTAAGATTTTCCATTTTAACTTTTTTATACACCCTTAAATTTGACAACAATAATGCATTATGTGCTTTCTTTTTTTTTTCATTTATCTAATCAGAAATTGAGTAGAAACATTTATAAAAGAATTGGGAAAATAATGTTGACCTTTATGTAGAGTATGAGATTATCATGGAGAGAGGAGGTAACAATCACAATATGAGAGAGAGAGAGAGAGAGAGAGAGAGAGAGAGAGAGAGAGAGAGAGAGATTGAGAGTTGTAATGTAATAAAGGGTTTTACATATGATTTAGGTGGGAGCTCATCAATCCAAATGCCAAGATAGGTTACCTGCCATATCTAAGACCCGTCGATGGAGCCCAACTCAAGTTCGACGCCATTTGAGATATGCTTTCTCATATGTGATGGGCCTTGCATCACTAGTAGTTGATATTGTGGCCTCCAAAGGCTATCGGAGAGAGAGGACATCTTAGCAATTAGTTCTATTTCCTATGTATTCCTTTGCATTTGTGTTCAACCTTTTCCTTGTCATTGTGCTTTTATTGGGTTATAATATATATTTGATCCTATATGGGTCGTTTGGGTCCCTAGATAATCAAATGCCAGTTTCTCTCAAGACCTAGTTCTGCAAATTTTAATATATGTAAAAGCTGATATTGAAAACAATGTTGTTTGACTGGCTGCTGGAAGAATCTAGTATATAAGAAAACCATGTTTGACAACATGAAGATGAAAACTAGGTTTGGCTATTTGCTGTTAATGCAATTTAGTTGTTCATTCTAAAGTTGATAATTCCCTATTAATACATGTCCAATAAAAAAGATTTTATGGGAATAAATTATCAATAGTACAACAAATAAATTAGATGGTTCCGATCATATTTTATCAATATCTTTATAAGTCAAATTAAGATACAATAAATAAAATCTATATACCAAGAGATAAGTTTTGAAATCTTAGATCTATGAGAAATAAAACCTAAAAATAGGGTCCATAGAGTTAGTTTCCCTATTTTAAAATTACTTGAAGATCTTACAACACAAGTTACATCAGCCGCACATTATCATAACTAGAAAGAAAACAACTATCATTACATCATTGTAATAAGGGTGCAATTGGCATACAGATGCATCGGTAGTTGTATAGGGAAAGTGCACCTTCAAATTTTATCATGGTATATAATTTTGATATAAAATGTTCTTAAGATTACCTTAAAATCTATTTTTATATCTAATTATAAAATTTTAAATTTCAAAAATAGTTAAAATCAAGTAGATCTATAAACATATGAAAATCTTTAAAATGGACAATGCAAATAATATGTTATAAAATGCACTATTTTTGAGGCTTAAAATCTTTTTGTTTTTCATGGTCATATATCTCAATGTCGAGATGATCAATCAAAGGGTTTTTCAACATTAGAACTACCTTTTCCAATGGATTTTTGAGGAGCATTCGTAGTTCTACATTCTACATTATAAGGTTGCATCCTTATATAAACTTTTTCCTTGTAATAATGCCCCTACTAGTTTCAAAACAAAATCAGCAAGAATACATGATAATGGTGTGATTTTCTATCATTATGTTTTACGTAGAATTGACCAATGCATTATGCAAAAGTTACCAGTGCATACACAAATGTAACGCATGCTTACATGACAAAAGTTGAATAAGATTCAACAAATTTGTTAATGGTTTTCTGGTGTAAAAAAAATGCATAAGTCAATGTACTCCAATTACTCGATTCCTATTTTTTTGTCAAAAAAAAATAAAAAAGTCAATGTATTCCAATTACTTACCCAAAAAAAAAAAAATTTCCATGCTTCCCCTACAGCATAGTAATTCTATCCGCCCCCTTATCTAACCGTCCATTCTAAATGGATGGCTAAGATTGCCCCAATCACATTGTCACATCTCTACACTATTTTATTTTTAATTTTTTTCTATAAACTATTTTTATACCAAATTTTGGACGTACATTCCTCTATTAAACTTGCACAAGCGAAAAATATAAAAAAAAATATTTTTAATAAAATAAAATGATTAAAATACCCTTGCAAGATTCAAGGGGTATTTTGACCATTATATTTAACGAAAAAATATTTTTAATATTTTTTATAAGTGCACCCCAATGAAAAGATGGCACGTACCAAATTTCATATTCATACAATTTGTATAAAAAAAAAAACTAAAAATAAAATACTTTGAGACGTCAGATCTAAGATCAAACGGTGAGTGGCTCTCTTGATCAAAATTAGACAGCTAGATGGTAGCGAGAGAATAAAACTTCTATGCTATAAGGGAAGCATAAAAACCTTTCCCCAAAAAAAAAAATACTCCAGTCGTGCTCATATGATTTATGAACGTGTAGAGCTCACGCATGACGAATTTCATAAAATTGGGCATTGAAGATCCATTCCCATGTTGCCGTTTCTAAAAAATGCAACAGCAGCACAAAATTCTGTGACATAAAGCATATAAGAGTAGAAAAGTAGCCACACATCAATTAAGAACTTCACAAATGATTTGAGTACAGATACAAACCAACACCATAACGCCTATGTCTTGATGAGGTAGCAACCCAAAGAGAGGAGTAAGTTCAATTTAACATTCTCATATTCCTTTTATTGGGAAAACAAATCTAGTATTGAGTTTGTTTTCAATCCCATTTCTATGTTTTATTTCAACAGAAATTTCTCTTTAGTATGGGAATTGAACAAAATGACAAAACCCATGAAACAAACTGCATAAACAATATAACGCCCGCCGCTGTAACGCCTTTGTTCAAACATTTTCCTTTATAGGGCGTTTAGAATGGAATGAGAACACACTTTTCCACAAAATGTATCAACTTGGGTTGTCAAACACACCTGCATTCTGAAGCTCAATGACACTGTCATCTTTACTGTACAAAGATCAGACACCCCAATCATGTAAAATTGGATGGTGTTTGAGGTGTGTCAATTCCCTGCCAGTCGGAGGCATCTTTTCTCGAACTTCAAGCACAATGGCACACAATGATTAGGAGTGATTATGCCTCCTTTTGATATCCAAGGCATGCACCTCCAGGTTTTGGTGTGTCAACCGACTTATTACCCTATTCAAGTGCGAGCTCCTTCCAAAATCTATATTGGACCTAAATTTAAAATGAATCGAATAATCTCGACTGCTACAATCATGAATTTGAAAAAGATAGAAGCTTTGAATACATATGGTTTTACTCTTTACATTTAGAACATATTAAGACCTTTAGATTAACTTATTTTCATGATGTAAATTTTAAACTCTTTTCTTTCAAGATAATCTTGATTTTCTTTCTAGATTCATGATGGTCAAGATTCAGATTATCATCCTATGACCCCACTTGAATAAAAATGCATTGCCTCCTGATCCTTTTCCATCCATGGCCTAACTGATTACCTCACCATAACCTATCCTGCTCCCACAGAGACTTAACCAAGTAAACAATCCACTTGTATTGGGTACATGGGCTCCGGCTCTTGCCTGCTGCAATATGCTATTGGCCAACCCCTTTTAAATTGGGAGATCCCGATCTCTTTATACAAATTTCTTTGCTTGCCCGAGTTTTTACCTTCATATAAAGTTCCATGCCAAATTTGTATTCGTGTTTTCGGAAATGGCCATCTAACTGGCACGTCGGTGGTTTTCAGCGACCAGGTCAGCCACAGAACCGGAGTGCGTCCACGGTTTAGTATCCAACGTCTCTTTGCAGGATGGATGGTGGATGTGCTGCCTGTTTAAGATACACATTACATGCACACAATTTCCCCATAAAATAGGTGGGAACTTGAGAAACTATGCAACTATGCATATCCTGTCCATGGATGTGCCTGAATGTTATACATATATACCCGTGCACAAGCATGTGTGGACATGGTAGAGGTCATACAATAACCCACATGTAATTTACGCCCATGTAACACATTAGGCATAAATCAATCATATCAGATAATTAACAAGTTTGGACAGTTAAGATGGTTCCTCTCCAATACAAACCAGATTCCAACCGTCCATCCGAAGTGTTACGAAATTGGTGTTTAAATAGTAAGAAGGATAAATCATCAATTATATATTCTACATATTGCTCACAATTTCTTGGGATATGGATGGTCAAGATGTTCCTACTATGAGCAACGGAACCATATGAAGACCAACCATTTCCAGTGTGTATATAACTGTAAGAAAATAGGGTGTGAAGAATAATTATATCAAGCAACAAACTTCAAGCACCTTGTGTCTGAATGTATTACTTGGCATCGGGGAGAACAGAAGCGGACCCCACACTGCACACACGTATAGTTTGCGATGAACCCACATACAGTGCAAAAGTGTCGACGGGATGTTGAGCTTGGGAGGCCCACAGCAGCCCTCAGATAGGATGGCACGTGAGGGGGCAAAGACTTAAGATTCGCCTGATTACCATTTAAATGAATATTGTGAGAGAGAGAGAGAGAGGAAGTAATTTTATGCTATACAGAACCCTGTGGGGTGACAATGGCAAATCATGCCGAGATGGAAGCTTTGTTACAAGGAATTCACCTTTTTCGTTAGAGAGCGTGCCTTGTAATATTCATCAATTGGTGTAATAAGGAGTCTCGTTTACCATGGAGCTTGGGAAGTAAATGGATTGAGGTTATGGACATTAGTGGGCAATTGGAAGTTTCTTTCAAGCATGCGTATAGACAGGCTAAACAGATTGTAGATGGCTTAACAAAAAGTCGGGTTCAGTTGGGAGATGTTGGTTTCTGAAACTTTAATTCTTTGAGAGAAGTATGTAAGTTTGTATGGTCTTTGATTAATTAATGAAATTACAGTATTCTTGTCAAAACAGAAAAGAGAGGGGCATGCATATAAGGGCGTACAATACCTCTTGTAACAGCTCTTGAAAAGTTCGTGGCGCCTTCTTTGCATTCTCAAGTGCCTTTGCCTGCCTCGTTTTGCGCTTTGTGTTTTTGGCTTGCTTTTTTTGGATATAAACTACATACATTCGCCCAAAACAACATCATTTACAAAAAAATGTGGTTCTTTAAATGCAGTAAAGTGATGGCCAATCATTTTTTGGATAAGTGAAGTGATGACCAAGTGATAACATCTTAGGCTCCATTCCCACTGTTAACACTTCCAAAAAAAGCCTATGATTCATTTGTTCAAAGTAGCAACAATGACCATGCAGTTTATTGCCATCCAATTAATGTGCTAAATGGTGTTGAAGGGAGAGTAAGGACATACAATTCAATAACTAAATTGTGTGGTGGGAAGTCGACCCCAAGTAGCTGGGATAAGGCTCAGATGATGATGAATTGTGTGGTGGGACCTGCTCCCCTCCATCACCATCCAATCCATTTATGGGACCATATTGATCAATAAAACATTGACTTGTGCCATTTGGAATGACTAAGTAGCTGATGTCACCAAAAAGTTCATATTTCTGAAGATCTTCACGAAACTAATATGAAGTGAAGCACCATGTACAGACTACAGAGAACTACATTTTTTTGTAGTTCCACTTAAATGAATTGAGTTAGTTGATTCACTCATCTAAAAAGTGTGATGTCAAGGGTTACTTGATAAAAATGATTGATTAGCATGTATTGCGTTGTGCAAGTGTTCTATAAGGATTAATCACGGCTTCCTTTAAGTTAACAACCAATCAATTTGGCCTTATAATTGAATTGATCTACTCAACCATAATTAGTTTAACATATTCGCTAGTTAAGACCACGTTTCGTTTCTGGAGTTCTATATGGGAACTATATCATGGAATAATGAAATATGTCAGATTGAAGCCTGACAATGAAACCTTGGAAGGCCTATTAGTAAGGTTTTCTGTACAATACTCTGCAACAAATTGGGACATCTCAAGTTTCTTCTCTAGAGAGTCCCAATCTGATACAAAGTAATTGAAACATATCTATAACTAAAAAGCTTTAATGCACTTTTCATATGTGCAAGTTCTTATTTTGGGAATTGCATGCCTGAAGTGAAAGTGATTTGGTCAAGAGGCTGGGCTGTGGTATTGACAAGTCACTGAACTAGTACTTAGATCTCCCCCTAAATCAAGGTTACCCTAGTGCACATCTCGGACTTCCAAATGTCACATGTTAGAATGTCAGTAGTTATAGCAAACCGCTCCGAGCATATGATGAGAGATTTCTTATGATCAGCAGGCTTAATTACACTGGGTGAAGTGGGATCAAGTGCAACCCAAAAAGCAGGCCTTTGGCTATATTAAACCTATAAGCCTGTAGATACAAGAAACCTATGAGCCAGTAGATTCACAACTTTTGGCACTTTGGTTGCAAATAATATTTAAGGGGTATATCAATCCATTCTTATTTTCTTCAGGGCGATTTTCATTTTTTCCACCTAGGAGGGTCGTTGGTGTCCTTTCTAAAAGCATAGGGGCACACGCAAATCCACATCATTTTCAAACCCATGTTCCCTCCTCTTATTGTGGCTTTCAAAACCATTTGACATAATCTCCTCTCTCCAAATCAAGAACGAAATTAAGGATTCCATCTCTTTCTAGCACACATAATGAAGAAAGATCGAATGAGGATGTGACATAATGGGTAAGGATATGGATGAATAAGCCTTCCCAACCAATCTCCACTAATAAAGGTAGCAGATTGGGTTGACCAAAACCAAAGGAGAGGTTGTATGAAGCCTCTCATGAAGGAGATACCCCCATGGTGTAATGGGTTTATTGGGATGAGCCAAAGGAAAAAGAGAAGAAACCTAGAGAGAGAAACCACAATAGGGAGGAATTGGGGGAGAAAGCTTGCACAAAGAAATAACAAATGGGAAACAAACTAAGAGAGAGAGAACAAAGTCAGTGTTTCCTTTTCTCTCTCTACTGCTCTCTCTCTCTACTGTTTTACACCCGCTCTCTCCTTATTTTGTTTTTTGTTTTCAAAGAAACCTTCTCTTGATTGGTTTTTGAAGTGTAAGAAGTTGCTTCTACCTCATGCATTAGATTTTCTCGTGGTTCACCATCCCATACCACAGCACCAAGATTTGCTAATGCAAAGGGAAAGGCCCAAGTATTTATTAGAAAGCTTGTTAATACCGCACTAGGTCATGTTATTCATCCAACACATAGTTGCTGGAAATGCCTGGGAATCCGAATTGTTTTAGGAACCAGAATCACAGAATCATTGTCGGCTAGAAGATTCCTGCCTTAGGAATCGATGTCCATACAATAGGAATCACGAGGAACGAGATTCCTAGTTTTTAAGAATCGTGTTTCAACCGGAACAGATCTAAGTTTCATCCACATATAGAACCAAGATTCCTTCCTCCTTGGAATCGAGACTCCCATCCCCTAGAATCGATACTCCAGGAGTCAAGATTCATTAAATACAGAATCGAATTTTCGACATCTATGGAATCGAGTTTCTGACATATATGGAACAGAGATATGTTGTTTTGAATCGTGATTCTAACATAGTTGGAATCAAGTTTTGAAGTATATAAATCAGAGATCCATACCAGTTTGAGATCGAAATTTACAATAATATGGACTATGGAATACGTTTGACGACCTCTACCAGGAATCGAGATTTCATTTTTATGGAGAAGGAAGCCCCAAGCACATCTTGAGCCTTATCAACTTTAGAACCTTTATTGTATATCTCTTATTAAAAGGTTTCCCAAATTTTAAAGTGATTGTGCTGACTATTGAACTTACGGTCATTATACACAAAAGAAAAGTATTTCTAAATTGTGTTTTTGACTTCATTATTATAAAGACAAAATAGGATTATGTCTACGCCATGGTTTTACTTTTAATTGTATGTGTTGCATTTACCAGTTATATTTTAAATTTAAAGTAAAAGCCGTCTAGGGTGGCACAAGTAAAATAATGAAAACTTGCAACCACTAGAAGCATTCAAAGGAAGATTCAACTCCAATTCCCTTTAGGAAGTGCACAACCATCATAGAGAATGGACATTATGTACTTTAAATTGGAATTTTTTTTATTGATACTTTGAATTTATTTATTTTTTAATCGAGATTTAATCCTCGCTGGAATCCAGATTCGATATATTTGGGAATGCCTACCCACAATTAATGCGTTCAAGTTTCTAAAGATGTGTTGGATCGAGATTCCGAATTAAGGAATCGAGTTTCCTTGGTTCCGATAAATGGTTTCTAAAGATGTGTTGAATCGAGATTCTGAAATTAAGGAATTGAGTTTCCTTGGTTCCGAAAACTGGTTTCTAAAGATGTGTTGAATCGAGCTTCCGAAATTAAGAAATCGAGTTTACTTGATTCCTTAAAATGGTTTCCATGGAGATAACTTAACGAAAATGCAGAATAGGGTTTCGGAACCGGAATCATGAGGTCGGTGGAGAGATTCCGGTAACTATGATCCGACATAACTCTAACTTCAATGAGTTTAAATCTTCCATGTTAATCTTGAAGCCCATGGAACATTTGAAGCACCTGAGGAACATCCACAGCTTGTCCATTTGTTGTAGGCAAGCATCACAAAATACTAGTGTCATCAACATATTATGAATGGTGGATAGCAGGCCCCCACACCTATCAGCGTTGAAACCAAGGAGCATGTTTTGGTCGTAAACTTTAGAATTAGGTTTACTGAAAATCTCCATCATTATGGCAAACAAGAAAGGGATATTTATTTTCTTTCTACGTAGGTGTATGTCAGGTTTTCGATTCCTAACAAGCAACAAAACTTCTCGTTTTCTACTCACCTCCCCTAGCCCTCTTACATTCCAACTAATTATCTTTATTAAAACGAGAGGTAGAGCCATATCTGGCGATGGGGGGATCACTGGTAGATGGAACTCTACCTCTTGTTTGCACTCCTGCAACAGTTTGCCTTCTTGTGGAAGAAACTAGTGTGTCAATCCCCTTTTATAAGTTATTTAAATCTGGATATTTTATACCAATAAATATCCTACTACTCAAGAAGGTTACAAAATCTCAGTATGGCATCAAACCTTCTAGCCTCCCGGATCTTGGTCTCTATTGACCTCCCTTAACAGGGACCCTGTCTATCATGGAACCATGAAGACTGAACACCAAGAGGGGATAAACTGGTGCAACTTCTATTCTTCTAACCACACCATTTCAAACCCCAATGGTCAAGGATCGATGACTGCTCACTTCATATCTAGCGGAATGGGGGAGTGGTTAGAAGTGACTTTGGATAGAGTTCTGGTCTGGACCCCTGGGACAGACTCCTCCCAGTCTGAGGAGACTAGAGAATTATCAAGTTTTGATTGGGTAGAGCTAACATCATGGTTTAACCAGGAAAAAACGATCCATTCAGACGGATGTCAACCAGTTGGTTTCTAGATTTCTCACCCAAGATTATGAATTAGTAAGACCCTCAAGTTCTTAACCCTTACAGATCTGGGAAATGCCATCTGAGTCAGTGCACAGTACTGTAATCAAAAGCAGCACAAAAAGTATAACTTATGGATGGAAATGATAAATTTATGTATTACAGAGCCACTACAGGATTATAGTGATGCACATATGCATAAAAGAACTAAAGGAAAGGACATGCTTTACAGCAGGTGTGTGTCGTGTACCAACTAACCAGTTAATTTTACTTCTGGAAATTAAATCTAAGTTTTGACTTCTGACAAGCAATGGCTTGATTAAGTTGCGAAATAGTAAAGCATAGTTTGTACATGATAAAGAAGGATCTGCGACTGTAATAAAATAATACAAGAAAAAAGGAGAAACCTTCATCCTCCTCATCAAGTGATGCGTCTTCATCGTCGTCAATCTCTATCATCACCACACCAGCATTATCATTTTCCAAAGCATCCAGACGAGCAAGAGCTGCCTAAAATAAAGTGATATGCGGTTGAAGGGCTACACAAGATTTTACAGGGAAACTAAACAAACCAAGAAATGCAAACTGGACCCCTACGTAGGTTTTATTGGTACCAACTCATGCAAACCAAGAAGTGTAAACCACACAAGATTTCAAGTGCATCCACATTTGATTTAAATGGTGTTTTGATAAGATTTTGATTTAAATGGTTGTCACTATGGTTTATTAGTACCAAGTCATGCACAAAAAAGGCCACCCCAAATTCACAAATTTGTGGGCAGTTAATATTAACACTCATCATAAAAAAACAAATAAACACCTATCAACTTCAATCAAAATAATGATCCACTCCACAGATACAGAAAATTCATATTCGCTCAATTCTTCATGGCAAGTCCAAGTTAAGAATATTCGCCAAATTCAATTCAAACTATTATAGGCTCCAAAGAAAGAGAAAGAAAATATGAGTAAGTAACATAATAATTACCTGCATTCTGTTATCACTACTGGCCAAAGCTGCACTCATCTTCGATGCAACTTTACGGGTACGACTTGATGTTCGTCGAAATGAACCAGCCATATCATCGTCCATGTTTTCAACTGAATCAAATACAAGTGAGACTCCAACAAAAGAACCATAATGGCAATAAAAATTCCTTAAAACAAAGAACAATGAACTACCTTGAAGTTTACAGAACTATAGACTTGACAACTTCCCTCAAAACACCAAAGACTCTTAATGATCAAATCCTAACCCAGATGAAAACAATTCCTAAGTGAAGGAAACTCTCAAACAATTCACCCACGAGCAATTGAATAAATCAGCATCAAAACATTCAATTTGAAATTAATATCCAATTACATCAGTCATTTGCGTTAATCTTATAAAGAAGCAAAGATACATAATCATATGGCCCCTAAGAGGTTGTTTCTTGTGAAAAAAGCAGCTAAAAATAACCAAAAAGCTAGGAGCCCAGATCAATGAGTTCTGACATACTGTAACAGCAAAATGATTTTAAATCGTAGTCAAAATGCAAGAAGAAGCAAAAGGTGATAAAAATCTCAAGACTCAACAAAAACAGGCAGGTGACCAAGGAATGAGTTGCGAAAGGAAGCAATATGCACCATGAAGCCATTATTCGAACACTTGGAGGACACCTGCAACAGAAAACACCTCCTCTCATCCCATTTAACAAACATGCTGAAAACTGAATTCATTACTCACATCCTGAAGACTTAATTCATTTCTCTCTCTCTCTCTCTCCTCTTCTCATCTCTCATCACATC